TTGAGCCGTCTTAGCGCCTTCTTGGGCTGTCTTGGGGCCCTCTTGGGGGCTTTTTGGGCCGTCTTGGGGCGGTTTTGGGGGCCTCTTGGGCCGTCTGGGAGCGTCGGAAAACCCAAAAGGCGAATTTGTGGAAAACGCAGGCTTTACGAAGGGAGCGGGCTAATTTTTGCGTCTAGAGGCCCTCTTGGGACGCATCTTGGATGCCTCTTGGGGCCTCTTGGGGGCATCTTGGGCCGTCAGGGGGCCATCTTCGGTGTCTTTGATCGCTCTTGGGCTGTCTGGGACCATATTGAGCTCTCTTGGAGGCCACTTGGGGCGCTCCTGGAGCGCTCTTCGGGCCCTTTTCGGGGCCCTGTTGGGCCGTCTTGGACGCTTGTTGGGCCGTCTTGGGGCCCTCTTGGGCTATCTTGGGACCCTCTTGGAGGTTTCTTGGGCCGTCTTCGGGCGGTCTTCGGGGCCTTTTGGGCCGTCTTGGAGCGTCGGAAAGCCCAGAAAACGAATTTGTGACAATTATACGTTTTACGAGGGGAATGGGCCAAATTTTGCGTCTAGGGACCCTCTTGGGACGCATCTTGGAGGCCTCTTGGGGCCTCGTGGGGACCTCTTGGGCCGTCTTGGAGGCCTCTAGGCTCGTCTTGGGGCCATCTTGGGCGTCTGGGAGCGCTCGTTTGGCGTCTCGGGGCCCTCGTGGGCCGTCTTGGAGGCCTCTTGGAGCCTTCTGGGCCCGTCTTGATCCCCTTTTGGGCCCAAAAGAGCCCCGTGACGCGCTCGTGCTGGGCCCGGGGGGGGGGGTCAAATCTCCGGTTTGGGGTCCCTGGGGGGGGGATTATGGGGGGGGAACTATCTCACACGCCTAGAGACCCACAAGGGGTCGCCACGGGACACTTGTCGATCTCATTATCGATTTCAATATCGATGTCACTCAACGGGACACCACAAGACACCACGGGCCACGACGGGACACCACGGGACACCGCGGGACACCTCTCGATCTCATTATCGGTCTCACTATCGATCTCACTATCGATTTCATTCAACGGGACACCATAGGACACCACGGGACACCACGGGACATTTCGGGACACCACATCGATCGCACAATCGATCTCACTATCGATCTCACTCAACGGGACACCATGGGACACCACGGGACACTTGTCGATCTCACTATCGATCTCATTTTTTGGGACACCACGGGACACCTCGGGACACCACATCGATCTGACCGTCGATCTCACTATCGATCTCACTATCGATCTCATTCAACGGGACACCACGGGACACCACGGGACACCACGGGACACCGCGGGACACCGCGGGACACCGTGGGACCCCGCGAGCCACCGCCGGACGGATGAACGGAAGGGCGGGCAGGGGAGAATCATTTGTCTTGACTTCGCCCTAGCAACGGTGGACACCACGGGACACCACGGGACACCACGGGACACCGCGGGACACCGCGAACCACCGCCGGACGGGCGGGCGGGAGGGGGATAATCATTTGTTTTGATTTCGCCCTAGCAACGGCGGGTTCATTCCTCTCGCGCGCCCACGCACTCGCCCGCGTACGCGACACGAACGAAACGAAACGATTTCCCGGTTGGGGGTCTTCATTCCACGGCGATCTCACCCACCAACCTCCGACACGTAACTACATGCATGCATGCACGCATGCATATATATATATATACACACACGCGTAATTATGTTTAGATGTATGTGTGTATGTATGCATGTATGTTTGTATGCATGGTTGTATGTGTGTGCGTGCATGTATGTATGTATGCATGCATGCATCTATGCATGTATGTATGCGCATATTTGTATAATCCGTACATATGTGTATATGTATGTATGTATGTATGTATGTATATATATAATATCCCTGCCGCCGGCCCCCTCTCTCGGAGAATGGGCCATGGAAGAGCGAAGTCATGAGGCTTTGGCTTCGCCGTGAAGTAGTATGGGGCCCTGTTTGTTTTTCGACCCTGACCCTACGGATCTGCGTGAGGGGTGCCGCCGAATTTCAGACATGTAGCAAAACTCCTGTGTTTTTGGACCCTGCCCCTACAGATCTGCATGAGAGGTGCCGCGGAATTTCAGAAATATAGCAAATCCCCTGTGTTCTTGGACCCTGACCCTGCCGATCTGCATGAGGGGTGCCGCGGAATGTCAGAAATGTACCAAGTCCCTTGTGTTTTTGGACCCTGACCCTGCCGATCTGCGTGAGGGGTGCCACCGAATTTCAGAAATGTTGCAAATCCTTTGTGTTCTTAGACCCTGACCCCGCCGGGGTGCCATCGAATTTCAAACATGTAGCAAATCCTATGTGTTTTTGGACCCTGACCCCGCCGATCTGCGTGAGGGGTGCCACCGAATTTCAGAAATGTGGCAAATCCTATGTGTTTTTGGACCCTGACCCCGCCGATCTGCATGAGGGGTGCCACCGAATTTCAGAAATGTCGCAAATCCTATTGGTTTTTGGACCCTGACCCCGCCGATCTGCATGAGGGGTGTTATCGAATTTCAGAAATGTGGCAAATCCCGTGTGTTTTTGGACCCTGACCCCGCCGATCTGCGTGAGGGGTGCCACCGAATTTCAGAAACGTTGCAAATCCTATTTGTTTTTGGACCCTAACCCTGCCGATCTGCGTGAGGGGTGTGAATTTTTTCCCAATGCGATTTGGGCGCGGTAAAAATGTTCGTTTTGGGCCTCTCCCCCTCGCGCGGTCCATCAACAAGGAGCAGTAAGCAGCAAGAAGTCAACAAGGAACAGTAAGCAGCAAGAAGCAGAACTGTAACAGTGGAATTTGGAAGCTGCAACTGGCACAGGAAACTGCGAACCTCCGGTCTACAGCCTGGTGGCCCCACAAGGGGGCCGGCGGATATATGTGTATATATGTATACTATAATATGGTCGGGGCCCGTCGACCAGCTGCCACAAGTCCCCATGGGGGCCCCAGGGCCCCTGGGACGTCCCCATGGCCGCCTCAAAGGCCCCCAGGCAGCCCTGGAGGCCGCCAAGATAGCCCCAGAGAGCGCAGAATCGGCAAACATTGCTCCAAGACCCCTAAGTGGTCCTCGAGAAAGCCAGGGAGGCTTCCAAGTCGCCCTAAGAGGCCTCCAACCGCACTCTTTCTATGGCCCCACGAAGAAAAATGTTTTAGTTCCCGGAGGTTTGTGAATGAGTTTCGTCATCCCGCCCGTCCGCCCCAAGACGGCCTCAGAGGCCTCCTCGGGGGGACCAGGACGGCCCAAGAGGCGCCCCAGACGGGCCGACGCGTCAAAGACGGCCCCAGAAAGCACCCTAAACGGCCCAAGACATTCCCAGAGGCTCCAGAGAGCCCCCCAAATGCCCGAACAGAGGCGCCCTCTGCCCCAAGAGGCCCCCAGGAGGCTTCAAAAGACCCCCAGGAGGCCTCCACGACGCCCCAAGAAGCCCCCAAAAGGGCTCCAGAAAGATCCGAGAAGCTCCCGAGAATCCCCCACCGAGCTCGCAGGAGGCCTCCACACAAACCTTCAGAGGCCCGCCAGAAGCCCTTCGTCCTCCATGCTCCGGAACAGCCCTTCGGAACACGTGGCCCTGGCTGCACCCCCCGACCCGCCCTCCCAATGTCGAGGCCCGAGGACGACCCCATGACTCCTGCAAGACGCTCCGGCAACGCCCTTACCGCACCTGTGGACCAGGTGACAATGATGCTGATCGTCGGTGGTCCGTCGTCGTCGGTCGTCGCTGGTACGCTACAGGCCAAACCCTTCCTTGAACTTCGCAGCATCCGCCCGAAAATCAGGCAGGCATGGGTGAAAAGGAGGAACCCAGAAGACCACATGGAAAAGGTGCCATGGAAATTGACGCTGTCTTCGGAGTCGACTAGAACCTGAGCGCGCGCGAAGCGCGCGCGTGGTTCTAGTCTGCATTTTACGATCGTGTTTCAAAGAACGCGTGCCCATCCAATTCTTCCAGACAAGACCATCTGGACAGGCTTGGTCAGATCACCTTGGAGGTCATTCAGCACCGATCAAGACATCCCAACATCGATATATCCCCGGGAACAAGTTTAGTATTGCCCCATGACCCCGAATTTGACCATCCCCACGGGCTTATTCTCTTGGGTTCGGGGTTCGGCCCCTGCAACGATCATTTCCACTGAGGGAAGTGCCCCGTTGGGAGTCAACCTTTCGAAGATCCTGAAGCGTGCCAAACCACCATTCTCGTGATCGCCACGAATCAATTGCGTATTGACGACCCTGGATCGTGGTAGAGTGCCGTTCCTGGGACCTCAGCACCCCGAATCAATGTAACTGGGGTTCCCGAATTACCTCGAAGCGTTCCAAAACACCACTTCTGGTACGTTCACCTTGAGATTACGTGAAACCGCTGCAAAACTTTAACCCGAATGTGCGCGGCGCTAAGGCGAGAGCAACATTTTGATAAGGAACCGCCCTCCGTTTGTGAAACTGCTGCACATGTTTAACACTAATGTGCGCGGCGCTAATGCGATATTCAAATTTGAAGACGACCCGCCATCATCAATCCGCGAAACGTTTGCAACTGTTTCAAATGAATGTGCGCGACGCTAAGGCAAGAGCCACACTTTGAAAACGGTCCGCCCTCAATGTGTGAAGTTCTCGCAACTTGTTAGAACGAATGCGCACGGAGCTAAGGCGAGAGCCACATTTTGGAAGTGGCCCGCCATCTATCTGCGAAGCTGTCGCCAATTTCTGAGCTGCAGGACCACAAATGGTAAGGATGTTTCGGGCGAGCCGCCCAGCCCGCCCTTCCGACTGGCCTCGGGGTGCGACAGGGAGGAGTTGCTTATGAGGAAAAGGAATGGAGCAGGAGAAGGAGGAGGAGGAGGAGCATGGAGGAGGAGCAGGGAGGAGGAGGAGGAGGAGGAGGAGGAGGAGGAGGAGGAGGAGGAGGAGGACGAGAAGGACGACGACGACGACGACGGCCGCGCTACTGCGACGACGGCGGCGGCGGCGACCACCACGGCCAGGCGCGCGCCCGAGACCGCAGACGGCCCCGCCGCGCCCGCCCCCACGCCAGCGGCGGGCGGCTCTTCGCCCGCGCGCGCGGCGGCGGCGGCGCTGGCGCTGCTGTGCGCTCTGGCCGCGCTCGGTCGGCTGCGCCGAGGGCGGCGGGCCGCGTGAGGCGCGCGCTGCGAGGAAGAAACATCGCCAAGTACATGAACTTTTGGCGCTCCGCGTGGATTTCTTGCATCTGCGCTGAGCCCCCCCCCCGGCAGCGCCTCTGGCGCCGCCCCTCCGCGCGCCAGGGAGGGGGTTCCGCGCAGATCTGAGAAATCCGCGCGGACCGTCAAAAGTTTATGTTTATGCCGTTTTTCTTCTTCTACGCTTGGCGGCGCCGCGGCGCCTCGGCGCTGCGCTGGTGCGCTGGGCGCGTCTCCAAGAGAAGGAAGGAAGAGCTGCACAGCCACGAGAGCTGCCCCAGCCAGTGGGCCGTTTTCGCTTCGATTTCGTTTTGCAGCAGAGGCGGAGCGAGGACGGCGAGGGAAAACGAAGACAACACGCAAGCGAAAAACATTGTTTGGGTCGAGCCCTGGCCTCAACGTCGACCCCAGATACGAAAGCAGCTGCATCAGCCAAGCCGGCAGAGGTCTCGGAAAGCGCAGTCCGAACGAGTCCGAACGACAAGGGTAAGGGCCCTTTTTGCTGAAGCATAGCTGGGGAGCCTTCGACAGTGTGCGCGGATCTCTTGGATCTGCGCTGGAACCCTTTCCGGCGCGGATGCAAGGAGTCGGCGCGGACCGTCGACAGTTCCCCAACTATGCCTCAGCAGGACGGGTTCCTACCTGGTCGTGAGGGCTGCGTTTTCCTAGACCTCGGCCGGCTCTGCTGATGCTGCTGCGCTCGTCTTTGGTGCCGACGTTGGTGCAGGTCACGCCTGTGCCGCTGTTTCTCCCTCGTCGACGGAGGAGGAGGAGGAGGAGGAGGAGGAGGAGGAGGAGGACCGTCGAGGCCTCATCCTTGTGCTGTTCTTCTTCCCCCGTCCTTGGGATGCCCCTCGGCCGCCCGCCGCCCGAGGCGCCGCTCGGCCGCCTCGGCGGGGGCGGCGCGCGGCCTGCGCGGGCCGCGGCTGCGCGGGCCCGGGCGTCGCCGCGGGCAGCGCGGCAGAGGCCGCGCGCCGAGGGCCCGCTCGGGGCGCAGAGCCACCCGCCGAGGGCCCGCTCGCCCGCTCGGGCCGGGCCTGCCTGCCTCCGTCGGGGGTGGACGGACCTCATCCTCCTCCTCCTCCTCTTCCTCCTCCTCCTCCTCCTCCTCCTCCTCCTCCTCCTCTCCTCCTCCTCCTCCTCCTCCTCCTCCTCCTCCCCCCACCCTCGTCTCCCCCCCTCCCCCTCTCCGCTGCCGCTGCTCTTGCCGCTCGTGCCCCCCAGAGCTCCTGCCAACACTGGCCTGCCCCCCTTCTCAGTATCGTTTAACCGATCCTCCTTACCCTGACACGTCGACTGGCGAGCTGGCCGTTTTCGGTTCGCGGGAGGGCGTCGCGGCCGTCGTTTTTGCGGGTCCAGGTCCGTCGGTTTCGGTCCCAGGCCGTTTTTACGAAAGGGAGGTTCACTAAAGGGAGGTTTGTCCACCGCAGATTCTAGAAGACCAACATCTGGGGCCGATGCCAAATACCGTTCTCACGTCCCGGACAAGTGACACACGGGGTGCCGTGACGGTCATTGACCTTTTAAGGGTGGATGCGTCTATGGGAAACGTGGCCGTTGCGTTTGGCGCGGTGCAAGGTCGGAGAGTGGTAGATCCGTCCACGGTACGTTCCTGTTCTAGAGCAGATCATCAGAGGAGGAAAAGGTATACCGATACCGTTGCCATTCGCCCGTTTCCTCCTTTTTTCCGCCTCCTGGGCGGCCCTCGTCGCCACCGTTGGGTTCGCCTTGAAATCCTGGTCAGAAGGCACCCCAGGAGAGGTCCGGGGAGCAGCAGCATCGGTACTTTTCAGCTTCCCCTCAACATGACATGCAGTCAGCATTGATGGTGAGGATGAGCGACTCTCCAAGGTTACCCTAGTATCTCAGTTTCGCTTTGACCGACCCCTGTCCCCATCCCCATCCTTATCCAGCGCCACCATCTCAGCACCCCAGTTGAGGACATCCGATCTACCCCTCGAAAGGCGAAGAAAACAGCCTCTACCCCGTTCAGGGGGTAAATCGGCCAGTGGGGCCCACGCCTCGCCTATGGGGACAGGGATCGATGAAGCGATGCTCAGATAAAGAGGGCGAGCGACTTTCCAAGGTTATCCTTGTGTCCTTATCGCCACTTTTGCTGGCCGCGCCCCGCTCGAAGAGTGTCGGCGTGGCCTTCCAAGGCCCTCGCATCCTTATCGCGCAGCCTTCTTAACTGGTTGACTGAAAGTATGAGTTTTTGGAGCTCCGCGCGGAGCTCCGAAAGTTAATGTTAGTGCAATTTTTTGTCTCCACTCGCGGGCAAGGCGCGTGGTGACTGCGGGCAGTCTGGCGAGGCCCGTCGACGGCTGGGGCAGGAACAGGTACCGATACCGCTGCTCGGTGGCGAGCCCAGGGGGGGCGTGAGATGGGGCGAGAGTTTCTCAGGAGGCGGCGCGGCGGGGCTTCTGAGAAGCCCTCGAGCCTTTGAGAAGCCTTGCGAAGCCTCGCATCCTTCTCCGAAGCGCAGTCGGCTTCTCAGAAGCCTGGAGGGTTTCTCAGAAGCCCCGCCGCCTTGTGTGAAGACCTGCCCCTCTCGCTTCCCCATTGTGCTCGCTGCCGAGATCCTCGCGAAGAAGAAACAGCTCCATCATCACAATCTGTCAGAGGTCCGCGCGGATCTCTTGGATCGGCGCTGGGCAGCCCTGGCGGCGCCTCCGTCGCCGCCCCTGCCCTGGCGCGCTCCGCGCGCCACGTAGGGGGTTCAGCGCCGACCCAAGAGATCCGCGCGGATCTCCGACAGTTTATGTTTGTGGAGGTTTTTGTTTCTGCTCGCCCTGGAGATTCCTCGCCGCCGCGTCCTGGTTGTTTCGCGAGATCATGGCCACGGCGCGCCCGGGGAGAGGCCTGGGGAGCGGCGGCATCCGCAGACGCCTGTCTCCCGCTCCGGCCTGCTCCCAGCACGGGGAAGGGCCCGTGCTGCCAGGAGCCAGGGCCGTGGCGCCAGGGCTTCCGAGCGGGGCCAGCGCAGACGGGGCCAGCGGGTGGCGCCGCAACGCCGATGCATCGGCGGTGCGGCGAGATCTGGAGCAAGCCCGTCACCCTCCCCGCCCCTGGAATCCAAGGGCTCCCACGACGGCGCGAAGTTATTCGCGCTTCGCGGTCATCGTTCCTTCTCCCCCTCCTCCTCGTCCTCCTTTTCTCCCTTTGGGGGGGCAGCGCGAGAGCGCGAAGTTATTCGCGCTTCGCGGAGCGCGAAGCGCGAAGTTGGGAGCCCTTGGGAATCGCCCCTCGCCGCCCCCTCGAGGGCAGAGGTGGTCTCGGGGGGTCCCCCCAGCGGGAACCTTGGGCTTGGCATCGCTCGGACGTGCGCATCGTTCCTTCGGCGAGGACCATCGAGGAGCATGCTTGATCATTTGGCGAAAAAAACACGCACGAAACCGAAAAATATACAGGGAATGGACGTCCGAGCGATGGCCAACGGGGTGGTAGGCCTCTCTCTGCTCGCCTCCTCTTCCCCGCTCCCGCGCACGCCGTGCTTCGCAAAACGTCCAAGAGTCGACCCCGGAGTCGCCAGTGCATCTCCATGGTTGGCCCCGTACAGTCAACCCAGCCATAGTCAGGACGGGCAACCGTCCCAGGGGTACCCTTGCATCCCTGCCTCCTCGCTGCATCCTTGGCCACTTTCGTTGGTCGCGCCCCGCTCGAAAACTCCGACATGTCCCTCTAAGGGCCCTGTATCCTTGTCGCGCATCCTTACTATACGGGTTTTGCCCAGCAGTGCGGAGCTACTCGCCGACTCCCACTGCCCCGTCCTCCCTCCTCTAGTTTCTAGTGGAGGAGGCGGAGGCGGAGGCGGAGGAGGAGGAGGAGTAGGAGGAGGAGGCGGCAGGGGAGGGGGGGCGGGCAACCCGGACGTGCAGGCCGCGACCGTCTCATCGCACGCAGCGAGCCCTCCTCCCCGGGGAAGGCCGCCCCCTCCGAGCGGCCTTCCCCGGTGGCGCTCGATGGGCCGCCCCGAGGCCCCGCGGCCCGGGGCGGCCGAGCAGGCCCGCCCGGGGCCACGAAAACGGCCAGAGCCAGCCGACCGCGGCGCCGGTCATCTTTGTCGTCGTCTTTGTTGTCGGCGTCGTCCTCGTCCTCGTCCTCGTCCTCGTCGTCGTCGTCGTCGTCGTCGTCGTCGTCGTCGTCGTCGTCGTCGTCGTCGTCGTCGTCGTCGTCGTCGTCATTTTTGTCGTTGACGTCTTCGTCGTCTTCGTCGTCGTCGTCGTCGTCGCCCCTGCAGGGCTTGTCTGGTCGTTCCTGGGCTCGCTGGCTCGCGCGTCGCCAGCTGGCCGCAGGTCTGGCGGCCCACCGATCCTCTTTCAAGCGGGTGCTGGGTCGTTGGCGGCTTTGCTCCCCAGGTCGGTGTCTTCAGAGCCATTTGAAGTGCGCTCGCACGGGTGTAGCGCGAGCGGGGCGAGAGCAGGCTCAGGCAGCACTGTCTAGTCAGGTCTGCCTGCTGTATAGACTCTATAGACTTGCTCATCGGCGTTGTGCCCCATGCGCCAAGAAACATGTCACCACGAATTGGGGACGAGAGGTGGGAGCCAAGATTGTGGGGGCATGCTTGTAAGACGCCCCCCTGCCTTTGAGAAGGTGTGGGGGGGGGGCATGTGTGGTTTCCACAAGGGCCGAGCCCGTCTCTCGGAAGTCCCTGGCCTGCTCAGAAGGCCACCTCCCCCCAACAAAAACCCTGACGATCTGTGCTTGTCGCCGAACTCGTCTGAGGATCGGGGGGGAGATCGTAGAAGAAACATCTGCGTAGACATCCACCATGCGAAGCTCCGCGCAGATTTCGTGGATCGGCGCTGGGCCCCCCCCCTGGCGCGCGGAGGCGCCGCCAGGGGGGCCCCAGCGCGGATCCAGGGAATCCGCGCGGAGCTCCGAAAGCAGCTTCTGCTTAAGCACTTGTTGTCGGCATCTCCGGGAGAGCACCTGCGACTGAGCCCATCGCTGGGAGGTCGAGCCTCGGGCTCCGTGGGC